GCCATTAACTCTTGAAGTGCACATTTTTTGAGGTAACGTCTTGTGTGTTAGAAGGGGATAAAATGCAAAAAAGTTTAACAGAAAACTTACGCGACATCAGCAGAACATGCAAGGAATATGTAAGCAATGAAAACCAGTGAGCTTATATACTTTTGTGCAGAACTATATGTAGGATCCAGGTGAGCTTAATCAGGTGAATGTGGAGCAGCTGTGGAGGAGCACAAAACTGGAAGGCCAGGTTGAGATGAATAACGGGTACAAAGAAAACTAAAAACCAAGGGAGGAATATTCAAACACTGATGGAAGAGAATAAACGAAAACACACAGAGAACAGAGCGCAACAAATAACTAAAACACAAATGAATGAGCTGATATGGAGAGACAACATCAAACAGGAGGGAATGAACCGATTAAGGCAAGACCTTACAAATATAAATAAAATAGTAAATGATCAGAAAACAAACACAAATGAAAACTAATAGCTCAACTCCAAGGATCACGACATTAGCGGATGTACGCGCTGTGGAGTCAGAAGCACAGCCCACTGCACCACATAACTTGGCAACCCTGGAGTTACTTTTATCCAGCAGAGTGTGTGGTGGTTAATCAAAGCCCATAATTTCCATAATTCATGGATGCCCATCTGTTTGCCACCTACTCCTATGCCCAGTGCAGCATAAACAAACTCAGGAGAGGGGCCAGGGGGCTATTTAATGACAGCATCCGCTATGGCTCACACTCTCACACACAGCAGAGGTAGCATCCACCACACACACACGCAGTGAAGTCTAATACATCTTCTCGGGTGAACCATAATTCATTTTAAAACTAATTGTTTAATCTTTCTCTGGTGCAATATTTGCTCCACAACTTACACACAGTGGTGAAGTGATTAGGTTTAGTAAGTGTGAGGTGAGACTTTGTTGTGTTGTGCCTTTAAAAAAAGCCTCATATGAAATCTCAGATCTTCAATTTACTGTGATGTTACTGTAAATGTGTCTCTCTGCTTCACATGTGCCATTTCCTGAAGTTAAAGGATAGGATGATGCACATTTCAAGAAAAATCATAATAACTGTTGACTTAATCTCAATCTGTAATGTATTATGTGGGATGCTAATTCATTGCGTGTTGTTTTCGTTGTTTTTATTCACAGCCATATGAAAAAAATATGTGAATACGCATTTAAAAGAGGCAGGCTTGTCAAATTAAAAGTACCTTTTTATTTTATTGAGCTTTCATTTATGTAATAAGTTATGTTTTTGATGTAATTTTCTCATTTTAAATGTCATGTTTTCATGTTCTCTGCCGAGATGACCAGGAGAGAGATGTTTGCGCGCAAGATGAGGTTTACACGGAAAGAAAAAGTAGATTTTGTGCGACTAATTCCTGCCAGGTGTAAAAGATTTGCCTGGGTAAAGTTTAAAAGAAATCCTGAAAAGTAAGACAGGGGGGAAGCAGATACATTTTGAAGATCACAAACTGGCTGGGAGCTACCTAGCTTCGAGTTAGCCGCCGCTAGCAAGAAGCTGCAGGAGGCCTGCTTGTGATGTTTACTTCTACGTGGGTTAAGGACAAAAACATCCTCAAAAAGGCCTTTCTTCTGAAATTTATGAAGCTCAAAACATGCTACATTTAACACTTGGAGCTGTTTAGTCATTTGAAGTATTTCCACCTGCTTTCATTGCCTTCTGCTCGGCTGGGCTGCAAAGCTTCAGAGAGTCAGACTTTCATTGAATTGGCGATCAAAGAACCTGGAGTTCAGAACTGTAATATAGACGGCGTGTTAATTTCTTCTTAAAATTGTAATGCTAACCACAGGAACCATACACGGATTATTCTGAGTACATATTTTTAAATCAAATGTAATTTTAACATTTTTAAAAACATACAAACTAAAAATGACTAATTTTATTAATGTAAACCTTAAAAACAGTGGCATTTTCATCCCTACTAAAGGCTAGCTTATGACGCTAAAGCAAATAGAGGGAAGTCGAACATGTTCAAAACCACGATGCTCATTAATTTTAAGCTATAGAGACTGTGAAGCCACAAAATTGCATAAGTTTGAGGTGTATTTTGTGATGCAGATCACAAATTAGTCAATTTATCGATTGGATTTGGAAAAGAGGCAAGTGTGGTCAAAGAAAATCTGAAGTTCACATGAAATCTTCAAGTATCATCTGGTGTTAGAGGGTCACAGATGTAATCAGAGCCCCTGTGACCCGACGGCTGGGCTCGATTTAAAGTATTAAAGCTGGAATACACAGGGGAGATACAGAGACAAATGACTTTTTACACCAAAAATACTGAAGTTCTTTAAACTTTGCAAAGTACCACAAGTGTCACTTAAACTTGAAATGAATCTGAAATTGGATCTTTTTCCTCCAAAACTTTTTTTTCCCTTTTTTTTTCTCACAATCATAGCGATAGCTCGCTGTTTTCCACCCTCCCCCCGCCACACTGCTGCCACACTGCCGCAGAGCAAGATGCCAGTCTGACAGCTGCTGGACTTCTGAGGCTCAGGTAAAGAGGATGCTGTGGCTCTGCTTCCTGCGCTTCAGAAACGTATTAAAAATTAAGCTGTTTTCAGGCCTGTCAGATTCAGAAACGGTCATTCTTGCTTTTTTTAAAAAAAATATTTTTATCTGATCTATTTTTGATGCACGGAGTCAGGCTTTTCTCCTCAATAGAGCTGAGAACAGCGGGAAACTAGTGGAGACCTTGTCTTCTAAAAGTAAATCAATTTCCACCAAGATTAGATGGAGTCTCCTTTTTTAATTGGGAGTAAATCATGGGAGAGCGGCCCACACAGATTGTAATCCGCCTCATTTTTCCTGTAACTCCATTATTACTGAGGCAGTATGGCCAACTGCCCCAGGGCCCCAGATCCGGTGGGACCCCTGTAAGCCCGGGGTTCGCGCCGTGTCAGCTGGGTTTGGTTAATTGTCTGATAGCTAAATCCCTTCCTCTGGCCAAAACAGCAACTGTCCACCCAAAGATACATCGACGTAGCGAAACCTTATTTTCTCACATTGAAGTCGTGCGCTTCAAATAGAATCACAGCTTTTATTTTTTATTGTATTTTGATTATAAACATACATTAATTTTCATTTGTTTGCCTCCTACAATGGAAGATTCACAAGTTTTATGTTAACTCGCTGGCTTGCCGAGGAATAGGCATTGACTCTTAAGGTCTGCGTCACATAGTAAATCACCAAAACCTTTATTTCATCTCTACACTGATGAAATCTGCAGGCAATAGTTGTAATTTTATGTAAAAAAAGAAAAGAAAAATGTGATATGTGATAAGAGGAGGGGAAAAAAAGGCATTTTTAACAAACACCAATTTCACAGAAACCACTGCTTAACTTCCAAGATATTAGTTTCATAATATTTCATACATCTGTTTATTGACAGAGGAAAACAGTTGGAGTCCTTATTATATGGACAACTTGTAGATGACAAATCATGTCTACTTTACTTATGCCTACCGGCTTTTATTAACGTTTTGGACGGTTCTCAACCTAGTTTTAGCAGTTTCTGCATCTCCTCAGATCATCCAGTGATTATCCAATAGGAGGATGGAACCAATTTGGTTTGCTAAATCCAGGTGGTAACTTTTTTTTTTTTTATCCCCAAACAATTTAAGTCAGTAACTGAGGTTAAAACCATAAAAATAGCTTAAATTCAAATGATTAGGCTTCGTTTTCTGAAACAATAACACCGTTAAACCAGGAAATATGACTAAAAGCCATAAATAAGTAAAGTTAAGACAGTTTTTAAAAACTGATTTTGCATGAATAACACATGAAGCAATCAGACAAGAATATGGAGTTCAGAACTAAGCAGTAGTTTATTGATTTTTGATCAATTTGAGTACTTTTTTTTTTTTTTTACATAACTCTTTTTAATATGACGGGTTTTTTTTTAAGATATATAACTCAACCATAAAAGGAAAATTGGAGAATCTCTAGGAAATAGAAAAATACAACAGGTAGAGAATACAAAATTATAACATCTGGAGTTACGGCTGTTTCAATAGGGGATCTAACATTTTGAACAATCTGCTGGATGTTTCAAGAACAGGACCGCGCCACAGACCCCACATTTAAACCCTAAAGCCCCGATCATGCTGCTCATGTAAACGTTGGTTCATCTGCCGTCACACATCAGGTACCAACACTCTTCCTCTAAATCTTCTCCGCTGCACAATAATCACTCGTATCATGTCGGCGAAGCGACGCAACAACTCGTCAAAACTCTTGAAGTCCCCACGAGAGCAAACACTCGATTTAACTTGTCAAATGAAGCGAGACGTTGTGAAAAGCATTTATACGTAATTACTTTGCGTCCGTTCTCGTCTGGCTGACTCTGTGCCTTGAAATATCCCTGGGCCACGGCGTTTCTCAAATAGCTTTTAAGACCTCGTGATGGCTGTTTCCATAATGGCTCCATCATCTCATTTGCGGGCTGCACTCTTGCTGCGAAGCGCCTCGGATGGCACAACAGAAGCCAATTATTGGCGACGTCTTTAAGCTTGAATCGGAAGGAGGTGGGAAGGAAAAAAAAAAAAAAAAAAATATATATATATATATATATATATATATATATATATATATATATACTCACACATCCACGCGACGATGGTTGACTTTGTTATGTTTCAATGCAACGCAAATCTCCTTTTCCATTCACAAGCGTTATTGTTGTCAAATGGAAACAAAAAAAAAAAAAAAGCATGAAAATAATGAGGAGATTTTGCCATTTTTCTGCTGAGCCGATCCTTTGTTAAAAACCAATGCTTGGTAGCGATTAATTGGGAAGCCAAATCCAGCCCCCCCCCCCCCACACACACTAGCATTCACACAAAGTCTATTGCCTGGCGCTCTGTATATATATATATATATATATATATATATAAAATATGACTTCAGTCCACTGTAAAAATAGCCTGACATGGTACGTCGACATTTTTCCTCTTTTTTTTTCTCAGCTATAGCACGCCATTATTTAAAACTTTCCTTTCGTTTCAGTCTCCAGCTGAGACTTTTGCAGCGACACGAACAATCATTTTCAGTCGCTGAACAATTACGGAAAGGTTCAGCTTAAGTGGGGACGTGAATGTCTTCGGCTTCCAAAACAAGCGAAAAGGTGGACCTTACGCATTCACAGCACAAGTGCGAGGGTCTTTACAAAAGGCTCATGTTGGATTTCCAGCTTGTCAAATGGAGTAATTGGAGAAAAAAAAAAAAAGCCGAGGTTGTTTATCACTCTGAAAGAAACTGCAAAGAAATTTCAATCTCCTGGATGAGTAGAAAAGATTTATGGCTGCAGAAATTAAAAGCGCTCTGAAACAACAGAGCCGCCTCGGATGAATACTGATTCAGAGCTGAAAAGTGTTACTCTCTGATGTGTGCACTCCTGCCACTTTAACACTCAAATTAAACAGCGAGCACAGTGGAAAAATATCCACATTTATAGGGACTGTAGCAACTAATAACGTATAATTGGCCAGTAACATAATAACTTGCTAATTTTGTAACAGGTTATGACATTATTGGCTGGTTGCTCCTTTTTTTGTGTGTAGCCATAAAAAAAATCCCTTAAAAATGAAACAACTTTAACCATTAATGCAAAAATATAGACCTGAAGATCTGGGATGTAAAACATATTTTTGTATGTCAAAACTTGCATCTTTGATTTATTATGAGTTATCATTTCATCCATCAATGGTGGCCAACATTCAAAGCGCTCTCTCAAAATCTACAATATGTAAATTTAGATTTCTACATATGAAGACATATGTATGCATGTTTTATTTAGTGAGTACGACTGTATTTGCATGTTATTTAGATGTAAAGAGACACGCAGTCACATTGGTTAATAAGTCGCTTCTGGCTATTTATTAAGTACCCAATCTGGTAATAACTTATGTTATTGGCAAGTTATTACAATATTGTTGCAATAAAAATGACTTTTGGCTTGAATTGCTGTGGTTTCATTACAAGAATGGACAACAGATGATCAAATGAAGCCCGGAGACATTAAAAAAATTGTGAAACAGCCCTTTAATTTAGCACCTTTAATTTAGCAAATGTTACTATTAGCATCAATAGTGGCTCGTGGTTAGTGGTGTGTGGCTATATCACCTTACAGTGGTTAAAGTACGATGCTTAATAGACTTTATTTTGCTTTACTTTCTTCCCATACTGTTTGGTAAATCAAAGGTTTTGCATCATTAGCCACAAAACAGTTAGCATAATGTTAGCATAATGTTTGTAACCAAGATTACCACAGAAGGTTCAGAACTGCTTCCTTTATTACTTCAAAATAAGAGTCTCAAACCACGACAAAGACTGTTTTAATTTCGTGCAACAATATTTCATCCCTGCTTACTTCCTGTAAAATCAAAATCCCAACGCAGTGTTTCAGTGAATGCACAATCTGGGCACAGAACTCTAAAGAATGCATTGTTTGCATTTCAATCCAGTTTCAGCAAATTATTGGCTTGGTTTTATTAATTCTGTGGAACTGGATTCGCTACAGACATATATAGTTTTACACATTTCTCATTTTTTCCATTACTTCCCAACAAAATCCTATTTTTTGTGACAACAAAAAATTAAGTCATTAGTGTTTCACTCAAACTATATATATATATATATATATATATATATTCATCTAACTATTTTCTTGCACTAGCTTTGGTTCAAATAAGACATCTTTATTTTGTTAAACTGTTAAAAATAAAATGAAGAAAAATATATAGTGGCACTTTTACACATTCAGATCTAAAGTGCTGAAGCTTTTTTTTATATATATATATTTATATAAAATAATATGACCAGTTTATGTATATGAACACAAACTTATAAAACAACCTAAGCTCCAGAGAAGACATCCATTCAAATTACTCTTGCTTGCCTGAATAGTTTGTGTTTGTCGCCACCTGGTGGCTATTTAGTCGACATTGATTGTTCGATTGATTTTAGATACTTTTGGTACTCTGCAGGCCTACTACACATTCTGGTTTTCACCTCCTATGTATAATTATAAGTTGGATTTTTTTTACTTCATACTTTAAAAACTGAGTATAAGGCTACTCTACATCCACTGAATCAATATAAAAGTCTAAACCCATACATAAAAAAACACCAGATTCGATTTTAAAACACACTGACATCAGGTACAATCAGCAGTCTCCTGGATTGCTGCTAAACATTTTTGAGTTTTTTTTTTTATGGCATTCAGAAGGTACCTTGAGTTCTGCTTTAACATTATATTTCTTCATGTCTGGTTTTCTTTATATGTTTTTTTTTTTTAACCAGAGTAAGGCAATCAGATATGGCTAAGGTTATAGCACAAATGTGCATGCTCATGCATCTACTCTTACACAAGTCTAAACTCCTGAAATCCTCGTCATTGACAGTCAGTCCGAAGTAGCTGCTTCGAGCATAAAGTAAAGATCTGCTGGTTTGTAGCTTGTTTGTTTTTGTTACCTCATTACGCAACAGCACAGGCGAAAAATCCCAACTCCTGCCTCAGAGTTCAGACAAAAGTGTTGCACGTTGGCACGACTTTGGTGTGTCTCCCAGTAACGGTAAAATGGCCGTTTCCGACGAGGATTCTCGGCTGTCCAGTGAATCTGAAACACCAGGCCACCTAGCTGTCTGCGTCGGCCCACGCGGAGTCAGACGTAGATGCCTTCTGGGTTTAGACCGGAGGAGACCCTGCTCTGCAGAGCGCGGAGATCGCTGGGTAACAGCCGCGACGAGCCCAGCCGTTTCAGAGAGCCGCACTCCACATCTGTAGACGCAAGAGTTGATCGAGAACCCTCAGTCTTCTTTTTGTTCACACAACTAAAACCTAAGCTGAAATGGTCACAGACTCCTGCCTCATCTGGTTACAATCTGATGTGTTATTCTGGGTTTGACCACAAGGTGGCACTGAGTTTCAATAGATAAAATGTCAATAGTGGGTAAACAACACAGGAGCCAAAGGGGTAATGAGCTATGAAATTGAAGTTTCATGAAACTGACTCGTCTTAGATTTGTGTGTGTGTGTGTGTGTGTGTGTGTGTGTGTGTGTGTGTGTGTGTGTGTGTGTGTGTGTGTGTGTGTGTGTGTGTGTGTGTGTGTGCTTTCGGTTCTTGGGCTGGCGCTCACCATTGTTGTCTCCTGCGGATTGAGCGGGCAGCACCGTGACCTTGGTGCCAGTCTGCTGGATGAACTGCTGCAGGTTGACCTGCCGCAGCTCTTTCGTTAGCTGCTCGAGCTCCTGTTCTTTCTCCTGAGACAGAAAACAAAACACCGTGGGAACTAAATAAACCACCGACTTCTCCATTTTTTCCCTTTACGTTCAGACACCTTGATTTGTTTATTCTTCGTAACATTACTACGGATGGCAATTTATCATTTGTCTTTTATCGCGATACATTTCTTATCGTGTTAAAATTTTGATTTATTGTTGTCACGATAAACTCCATTATCGTGACGATAACAGAATTAGTGTTGTCACAACATTGCTGTTTAAAGACCCTTAAACTATCTATGTTGTCACAATTGTTATGTCTTCTATTATTGTCCACAGTTTGTATACCAATAGACATCAGTACATTTGAAAATATGACATAATGCAGCTACAGAGTGCGTTTTAGTGCTTTTTTGTGTGATTGTTGTCCTTATGAACTATATTACTATGGCAATATTTGTGCTAGTAGGGTTTTGAATCCTGTGCCATGCGGTTATAAACGTTACAAATAGTTCTTATTGTGACAAGAGTATCGCATTGGAGCTGTATCAGACATGAAAACACAAACGGCAAAGTTGATAAGTTCAAAATTCAACTTTTTAACATGAAGACACAGACTATCAAATCTTACTAAGCTCCTGTTGTTCTACAAGAAAATAGGCAAACGGGGCTGGAATGCATCATTTTTCTAACACTTCATGATTTCTCATGTCTATTACATAAAATCCTGCCAGGGTATTTTTAAAATTGCGGTTATAAATTTGACAAGATCTTAGAGGTACACGTTTGAAATCTGCTCAAAATCCCTCCAGCCGTAAACCCAGTTGCGACAGTGGGTTGCCAGAGGGCTAAAGCAACGTCAGGGAAGGGATTGCGTATTTATTACGCCCCTCTCTAATCAGCCAAAGAATGCTGTTAATACCCTCCCTTCCTCTTCTTATTACCTCATACTTCTCACATCACAGCGGACGCAGTCTTGTAGAGGAAAATTTCGTTTCGTAAGAGGAGGCACAGAAGCAAAAATCCACCGCACATCCCAGCAAGCATCGCTGCCTGCAAATTTAAGGAGCTCAGGACTTGTACCGGTTCCACCTGTGCACAGATCACTGGCTTTTCTCTGCAGCATTTTAATAAAAAAAAAAAAAAAAACTTTCACAACCTTTTCCGGAAACTTTTGAACCCATTTGGAGGCAAAATAAATAAATAAATAAATAAAGCCTGGCAGTTCTGAGGCTGGAGTGCCAAACAGAAGAAGAAAAGAAAAAAAAAAAGTCTGATTAAAACTAATAAAATGTGAGCTGACCTGGAGTCTTTTGCCCGACTGGCAAAGCGAGCGCTCCAACGCCTTGCAGCTGCTTTCCAGCCGCGCCGTTTGTTGGCTCTGCACTTCCAGCTCTGCCCTCACTTTCTCCAGCTGGGCCTGCACCTGGAATCAGGAGTTGAAGGAAAACAACTCATCAAAAAGTCTGAAGGGGAAGCGGCTCGAAAGACTGGTAGCTTATTAACTTCTACTGGATAGTTAACAAAACACAACAAAGGAAGTTGAGATTAATAATATGTCACGACAGCAAAAACTTCTGCTTGGGATGAGCCTCTCATTTGTCAGTTGTTTAGTTTAAAACAGGACATTCCTTTCTCTTTCCAGCTCGGCGTGTGTTTGGAAAAGCAAGATGAGCTGATTTGTACCTCTTCCTCCTTGATCTTCAGGTTGAGCTCAGCCTCCTGCTGCAGTCGCTCCCTCTCCAGGCCCATCTCCATGCTCTAAACAAAGCAGCAAACATCACTGCAAAGCCTTCACGGAAACGGTCATCTATTTCAGTACGCCTCTCTTGCTTTCTAGACGTGTTCCCCCTCGTTCCAACACCATCTAAAATATGTTTTATTGGGATTTTATGTTTCGAACCAGCCCACAGTAGCGAACCATAATTGCAGGGGTGAAACTGCGTATACAGTTTTCAACACACACACACATATATATATATATATATATATATATATATATATATATATATATATATATATATATATATATATATATATATATTTTTTTTTTTGATAAGTTTCTGAAAAGAATGGTATGCTTTTTGCATACCAAAGTAGTATTCAGTTCCAAAAAAACTGCAAAGTTGCTGAAACACTGAGTTCATTTAAATCAAGGACTAATCTGCAAATTGGATTTCTAAAGGCTTTCATTCATCATTTGCTCATTTTTTTATAACACAAATACAAAAGTATGCCACATTTCCAGGATTTCATTCTTTAACAAAAACAAAACAAACAAAAAAAAACATTCATCATTTTTGTTCTACTCCACTACTGTTCTCTACTTTGTGTGAGAACCCGATAGTGCGATGGAGATGTGGAAGTACAGCGCAGGACTCCTGCTGTTCCCAGGTGCAGTTAAAAACTCCAGAATCACGCAGCTCCTCTGCGTCGGAGCGCTCACCTGAATGCGCGCCAAGTACTCGGAAAGCTTGCTTTCGCAGTCGCGCACGCGGCCCCGCAGCTCGACGAGCTGCTGCCGCAGCTGCCGCTCGCTCTCCTGCTCGATGTGGAGCTCGTTCTGCCAGAACTCCTCCTCCTCCGCCTCGGCGTCGTTCCTCCTCACCTGCTGCTCCAGAAGCAGCAGCTCGTCCTCCACGTTTCCCTCCTGCTAAGTGGAAAATAATTGGAATAGTTGAACGATTTTTTTTTCTTCTTCTTCTTTTCTTCACGGAGACGCTCGGCTGGCCGCGGTCGGACTCACGTCGCTCGCCTCCTCCCAGTCTCGCAGCTCGGCCTCGCAGCCCAGCAGACGGCTCTCCAGGGCCTGCAGCTTGCCTCGCTGCAGCTGGACCAGCCGGCTGAGCTCCCTAGCCGGACTCCCAGGTACAGATGCCGTCCCACCGCCTCTGAGTCTGCTCAGGTTCAGGCTGACGCCCCGCTGCTGAGCCTGTTTGGCTGAGAGCATAAACAAAGTTCTAAAATAAAAATCACACACAAAGTTCATACCTGCTGTAAAAAGAAAATACCTTCGGTATCTTTACTTTTCCCAAATATTTCCCGCAGCCCTCTGGCTCCCCCGGTGAAGGTCAGAGACTTGCGCTTGGGTTCCCTACGTTTGAGAGAGCCATCCGTCCCCGCAGGCCGCAGCTTGGCCAGAGGCGGCAAGCTCTGGCGGTAGAGGCCCCGCTCCGGGACCCGAGCCAGCCCTTCGGAGGTGGGCCGCTCGCTGACGGAGGGGCCGGTCCGCTGGAGGATGAGCTGCACGTCGCTGGCATACTGACCCCACTTGTTGAGGGACACCACGGGGTTCTCGTGCGGAGCCAGGTGGCGCTCCGTGTCTCGCCATTTCTCGATCAAAGTGTACCTGCCGGTGCGTCCTGGAGGGAGGAAAGGCGAGTCAGGACATATGTGCAGTTACTTAGGATGCGCTATAATATTTAAAACCTTTAAGGATGATTAAGAATCAGCAAAAATCATTGAAATTTGTTCCGCCAATAAAAACGCGAACATTATAGTGTGCATCTATCCCCCTCCTCTTTAGCACATTAAAAAGTAAACAACAAATGTTGACTAAAGTGAAATAAAGTAATTCAGTGAAATAAAGTAAGATTACAACAACAATATGAACAAGAAACATATTTAAAAGTGAAATGCAAATACACTCCATAAATGAAACTCAAACTCTGCTTGAAATGCCAAAGAATAAATCTGGGTCTTGAGCAAAGATTTAAAAGTCTCGACAGTCTCAGCGATCTGTTAGGAGTTGACTTGTGCATAATTTAACTTCAGTAAAAATGCATGTGAAGAAACATAATAAGGAACACAGTAGGTCAGAGATAAAGATGTGGGAAAGTTTGAAGGAGGAATCATTTTGACAGATTTTGATCTTGAAGAAAAAAAAAAAAGAAAAGAAAAAAAGTTCAGTACATGCTGGATGTAATTCCAGCAAAAGCTGGTTCTGCGTAGTGAGAGTTAAGAAGGCCGGATATAAATAAACACCACACTTGTACATAAAAGTCCGACACAATTCTGTTCACTGAAGCTCGTGGCTGAAACGTGGAAAAAGGTTTAAGGAGGCTGAACAGTTTTGTGAGGTAGTGCACCTATGAGGCCAGGCCAGAGTTTCGATAATAACCGCTGCTGCGGCGTCATCGAAATCCAAGTAAACTTGGAAAGCCGGGCGTGAAAGTCGAATTTGCACCGTGAAAAGAACAAAACTTATTCAATAAATTCTTCCACGGCTCTCCCACGCTCACGCACCACCAGCGCATTCAAAGCGCTCCACCAGCGTGTTGACTGAAAGAGTTTTCACGGTGGGAAAATTCGACTCAACAAGCAGCGATTGTGAGGGGCTGGAGGCTCAATGGTGTTGCAGTTTTCCATCTGTGTGTGTATGTGTGTGTGTGTGTACTCTGCATTCTAGTCTGTACACATGTAGATAAGAGCAGAGCACTGCCTGTTTCACCCTCAACCCCCATCCTGCACAGTAAGGATCCTTGTAAAAAAAAAAAAAAAAAAAAAAAAAGAGGTGCATTCATCACTGCAGCCATTCACATCAAAGTGGCCTGGCCGCCTGAACAAAAGGCAAAGGGGACACACAAAGGACAGCGAATGCCATACATCTCACTGCTCTGCCACTTTGACAGGCATGTCTGAGCTCTAGTGTGTCTAAAGGGTCGGCGAAAACCAATCTGAAAAAACAAAAAACAAAAAAAAACTGTTCACATATCGTCTGTTAAAGGCAGCATGCTAACTTATTTCACTGCGGCTCCTTGTCAATAAACCCAGGACTGCTGAAGTATGACTCATCTTGTTCTGTAAAGGCTTATTTATGGGGGAAATATTCATGCCCTCCAGTCACCTTTCATCTTTCTGCAATTTATCACCCATAGTCAGTCTGACAGCTTGCCCACCCGATAATAAGCGCACCACAGAATACAATGCAGATTTATCTCACTTAAAACGTAATCTAAATCACACTTCAGTTCCTGTCAAATTGAGAGTGTGCGACACAATGCCTCTTATTTGTTTTGTGCGAAGCGTTGAGCTTACCGATCGCTTGTGCCAAAGCGATGACCACTTCCTGGCAGGTGGTGAACTCTGTGACCCCGCACACGATGCGCTGTACGCCGTCCACCCAGACTTTCAGCTCCATGGCCTTCATCCAGAGGCCCTCATTCCTCCGTTCCACCAGGGGGCGCTCTTAGGGGCTTATTCTTGCACCCTGGAAGCCAGCAAATGAAAACGACACTTAGAGTTATGGCAAATGTGCGTAAAAAAGGAACAAATCAGTCAGTGGGAACAAAGTTCTGAAAGTTGAAATTTGTTTTTTATCATCTTGTTTCTATGGTTTATTACAAGTCAGTTTGTAATAGTGTCAAAGTAATACTGCAGAGTGTTCATTGTACCACAAACTGAACTAAATACTCCACATATTTATGAATCTAAGTCACCTATTGATAATTTGTCATGAAAACAAAAAAATAAAACACTTCTGGAACCTAGCTAAAATGCTACATCAACAAGCTATAGTACGATTGCCAATAACAAGTCATTCAGATCCAGACAAGCTAAAGCTGAGCTAACAGTGGATGCAGTTGAGATGCGAAATCAGTCTGCAAATAGTTCTTAATAATCATTAATCCCTGCTTGTGTAACTTACACAAGACTGTGTGTGAGCTGGAGACATTCCCTGTGAGTGATGAAACACTCCAGGAATGTAATGATGCACAACAGCAGCACTATGTCTTTCAGCGTCAGCTCCAATAATGTGCACTGACATTTTTACATTTATATCAAATTAAACCTGCGACCTTCAAGCGCTGCGCTTCGGTACATAGACCTTCCCGATTTTTTTCCCCCCTCCCCCCTCCGCCTCTGGAAAAAGAGGCATAAAGAGACCCTTAAATAAAACCATTCTTTGTCCAACAGCTTTATCCAATTTGAAAAGATGAATAAAATTCAACCGTTTTCAGTGCGTTTATTTTTCCAGTAGAAAAACAGCCCACATGAAGAAGTAATGACACAATTTGTGGCTCATTGAACAGTCCCTACAGAAATCAGTGTAACTGAAAAATCACAGCGACTAGGAGTTTGTTTGTTTTTTTAAATAAGACCAATTCATTTTTGTTTTCCTGTGGTCTGAATATGACACAGAATATGCTATTCAAGTGCAGCAGATTTGTGTTGCTCGTAAAACGTTAGCAAAGGGCCACAAGCACACAGCTACTGTCTTAACTTTTATTTCTAAGTCGGAGATCAAATAAAACACCAAGGATTGAGACGAACAAGGCTGGATGAGGAATTAACTTTAATTGCGACCACAAAGTGAGCAGAAGAAAAATGTAGTTAAATGCTTTTGCTTACCACTACAGTCAATACTTGGCATCTTCTGGAACAGGTTTTAAAGTGCAATATAATAAATATGTCCTGATTGGACATCTGATTAATCAAAAAAGTGAAACAATCTGTTCAGAATAAAATTTTGCGCTCTCCCTCTCGGTTTTCCGTGAAATGGCTCCAAAATGGCGGATGTGCGCCATCAATTTAGCAGTCGAGGAAACGCAGTTTTCGGACACAAACATGACTCAGAAGTTTATATCTCCATATCTATTTGCTGTACAGATAGCCAAATAACTCACACAACTCAGAAAGAAAACATTTTAAAAAATGTAATCAACCATTTAGATTCAAATAGCGCCCCCTTTGATGTTTTTTTGCTAAGCTTAGCTCCAAAGATCAAAGCTCTTTAGCCTAAGGCGTATTATAAAACAAAATCAACAAGCTCATTTCCTTCCAGTTATTTCCTAAACTACTTCCCAACCACTAGAGAGCCCGGAGGACGCGAGCAGCTATAAAATAAATAAATAAATAAATAAATAAATAAATAAAACTTGACGTCGACACTTGTTCTTTGGAAAGCGGTTTCATTTAATGCTCCCGATGAACGGTCGCAAAAGCACCCCTGTGGTTCAGCAATTGTAGTCGCGTAATAGAACCGTTCCAATATATTTGTTTCATTTGCAGGCGCTCGGTGCTGGGGGGGGGGGGGGGAGGGATAGAAGAGAGCGTACGGACACCAAAATGAGAGCCATTTTCAAAGTGCTGACACAAGCATCAGCAGCGGGGCGGTCATTACGGAGCTGGCAACGCCTCAACAGCTGCCAGAGCAGCAGAGCAGTTAAAGCGCAGCAGCCTAATGCTGTGTGGTGCAACCTTACTGAGCTGCAGAAACGAGCCATCAGTTCAGCCCTGATTGTTCAACGTTCATGTCGTTTGACGTGGAGTTAAAGGCAGCTTCCATCTTCATCACAGCTGGAATGGGACCACTGCCCCCCCCACCCCCCACCCCCCAGCTCTCCCCCCAACCTGGGTAATTTAACTAGATGTTCTCCCGGTGAGGCGGCATTGTGCTGCACACCCAGCCGCACGGAAAGATAGTCTAGATAGTCTACGAGGTAAAAACAGATCAAATCTGATCTGAGATGCCAAAAGCATTAATGCAAATATTTTTGCAATTTTTTTTTTCATGTTAGAGTCATAAACTCCAGTGTTTTATTGGGATTGTAGTTTAAATACTTTTTTTATTCAATAAAATCAGAAAAGTCTAGCTTGAATTTGCGCTTAGCCTCCTGAGTGAATCCTTTATAGAAACGCTATTGAGACATTTTTATTTATTTATTTTTTAAAAAAAGTTATACCTCTCTACTAGAGCCCTATTCGTACTACTTTTAACTTAGCTGAACACTCAGAAATTTAGTTTTCACTCAAATCTCTAAAGGGGCGACAGTGCATGCAGACTACTCAGAGTAAGAAAAAAGCAAAAAGAACTGAAAGGTGAGAATGAAGTTTTGTCTTTCAGCAGAATATAGATGGTGTTTTCGGCCTCGTTTGAAACAAAACTCCGGCTTGTGGAAACATTAGCGTCCGTAAAAATGTGCAGAGACCCCTAGCGGACAAGAACTGAGGATGACTAGAAGGCGTTGCACTGGAATGTAACGAAAGGGTTAAATGCGCACCACACTTAAGTTCAGGCTTTGATTTTATCGAGACAAAAAATTAAAAAAAAAAAAAAAAAAAAAAAAAAAAACAAGGGTTTGGTTAAAATTTTTTAAATTTGCGGTTT